ACTGGGATTAATTGTTCATAATGTATCATGTACATTAATGATACGGTCTCAGTTTATATCTGCTGAGTCAACTATAATTTTAATAAATGCTACGTCATTCTTCACGTAAGCACAACGAAAACTAAGTTTAGAAAGAGGCAAGAACAACGGACACCCACTTGTTCTGGTCGTTTGAAAGAACTGGACGTTGGGTCAGGTCGAAATGCATCAATAACGTGCTCTCTATGATTTTGATCCAGCCACATTAAGGTAACTTTCTGACGAAATGGCCATCTCAGAAGAGCATCAAATTGACCTTTCATGATGACAAAGAACAAAGACACATGATTGCCCTTTCCCATTCCATCACCATTCAGGTACATACGGGCACACATTTTGTAACCATGGCGACTAGTGTAAAAACATGGGGAATAAATTGATATTGTTTTGCCAGAGATCGCATCTTTACGTTTTTGGGCAAAATCGGTTATTTTCCAAACAAATTCGCCATCATAGCATGTCATGTTCAGGGTTTTTATTCGAATATCCTGCTCTGAAAGTGCAAAATCCTTCAATGTCAGAATTCTGTCTTGGGCGCTGATTTTACGTTCCAATGCCTTCAGGTGATCTAATTGTTGAATTGTTTCACTCTTTACAGTTTGTATAGTTTTTGCATCTTGTTCAATTTGATTGTTTAACACAGCAACGATGCCTTCGTAAGTATTTATATTACTTTCAAGCGACTTGATTTTTTTATTGAGAGTATCCAACGTATCTGCATTAGATTGTTTTGGGTCACTTATTGTTTTCTTTGGGGAATTGTGTTTTGATTCTATAAGTTTAATCCCTTGTGTCTCCAGTCTTTGTACTCGTGCCGAGATCTCGTTTACCACAGTTGTCTGTTCGGTGATCATTTATTCAATGTGTTGTGCTTCCTCGCGACCATTCTTTATTTCGTGTACATGTTTAGTCAGTTCAGTTGTTTGGTTTAGCAGCAGTACAGAATGCTCACTGAGTGCTTTTCGACTGTGATCGCCCTCGCCGTTGGTTTCCACCTAGCAGCAAGGCAAAATGGTAGAAAGATGTTCTACATGAATAATATGCCAGACTATCGAAGCCTCCACTGAAATGAATACCACTGCTATATGGGCATATGTTCCATATATACTTACAAGTGATTGGCAGCCAATTGCATGGAATTTGCAGTGTGTCATCTTCCTGGAACATTTGCCTTTAACAATGTCAAGGTGCTCATTCAACTATTAATAAAAATAACAAAACACTATATAATAATTACCAAAAAAGAGTCGATTTCAAGATATTATTTATTTATTCTCTATAACGGATATGTTTTAGTCAACGTGTGTGTGTTGATTTGCCCGTCTGTCAGTAGGACATCTCAAATTTG